CCTACATTGGAAAATGTCCTGACTGCATTTAGATTGCAAATATTCTTTTTCTTCTACTTGTTGCAGTATACAGAACCAACCTAATGTTATTTGGTTCTAACTACCTATATTTTAGTATTATTTTATTAATTTGTTAGATTTTTTAGTTTTATTACCCGGGTGGAGCCTGCGTGTATCATCTAGTTAGTGAAGATTAAACATGCATAATTTATAATGCATTTTATTATTTGCTTATTATTTATTGTAACATATACAATTATTTGTTTTCAAGCATGGTAGCGCCGATAAACCAAGTGGAGAAATCCTATTATGCGTTATAAGAAAACGTAAACAGATGGAGCGGGGTGGCAGGTAGTCGGGGTGACACGTTGTCGCGAGTGTACGAGGTGACTGTTTGTCGTAAACGGCAACGACAGATCGTCACCTGGGCCTAGAGTAGGTGACGGGTAGTCGGGGTGACACGTTGACGCAAGCGTGCGAGGTGACAGGCAGTCGTCTCTACACACGACAAACAATCACCTCCAGAGAAGAGGTGACAACTAGACGAGGTGACACCTAGACGGCTCGTTATATTTTTACGAGGTGACACGTTGTCGTCTGTGCCCAAAATACCGAGGTGATGGGTTGTCGGGGTGACACATAGACGGCGACCCAACGAAACGATGTGATTTCAGCGGCGTTCGTGGCATAGTTGCGGGTAGCGTTTCGGATTAGTGATCAGGAGGTCCCGGGTTCGAATCCCGCTGACAGCACTAACTTTTTTTTCATATCAGCAACTTTGGTTGGTTAGGTTAGCTTATGACAGTTTAATTTTATAATACTAAATTTTAAAATTGATTTTATAATTAATTAAAAGTTATAAGTAATCATTAATTTGATTTTTATCTTATATAGTTTTTATATTATCAGCAAGTCTGGTTGGTTAGGTTGGTTATGACAGTTTTTATTTTAAAAATTAAAAAGTTATTTTATAATTTTAAAACAATATTTTATAATTAAAAAGTTAATTTTATAACTAAAAGTTAAAAAAAATTAATTTAAATTTTTCAACTTAGCAGTTCTAGCGGCGAACGCTGACACTACAAGATAATTATTATGTTAGCCTTAGTCTTAGTCCCTCCCAGCGAGCACATAATAATAATAATAATAGAGAGGACACAGCGTTTAACCAAATGCACTGAAAGTGTGGCCAAATCCGCCATCTTGGTCCGTCATACAGCCTGAATCCAAGACCCGCGAGCTCAGTTCGCATTAAAAACCCCGCGACAAATACACGATCATAAACAACATTTATAGTTGACAAAAAATTCTGAAATTTTGCACACTTGTAGATATGATACTGAGGAAAACGATGGTGTTAATATAAAATTATTATTTATGATAGTAATTGAGTTATAAATATGTTTAATACTTATGTAGTTTAATTTTTCAGATTCAGACATGAAAAAGTTGTATTGCGAGGAAATTTTTTATTTTTTTGTCAGAGAAATTTCGTCAGCGGGAAAGTTGTGGATAAATAACCAAATTTGACTATCCGATTCACCAAAAATTTTTATCATGTTCGGTTTTCTAAAAAATCAGGTACAAAAGGGATCCATTGCCGCTGCTCCGCGCCACGCCCGCTGCGCCGCCGGGCCGTTGTTAAGCGTGCAGTGTTTTAATGTTTTATACTGTTGTACTGTAATATTGTATATATTAAAGAAATTTTCAAATATATTGTCTATGTAGAATTTTAAACCGTTTAGCACAACTTTTTAAGAACTAATTAGCTTTCAATATCATCCAAGATAAACTAAAGATAATTCTGTAAGTTAAATGAAACTTCCCAAATATATTTGTAAAATTAAACTCAATTTATTGTCCCAAAAAATTACAGTTTTATTGAGATGTTGCCTGATTTTATTTTTGTGAAGACTTTCGTTACTTATTTTACAGTAGTAGCGAACTCTTATATTGAAATATTTTTGAGCAATAATTTTAATTAGGTACTAAACAAAAATGATGTTTGTCCATATTGTTTTATATCCTAAAAATATGTACTATTTGGAAACAAATTTACTCCTACACATTGTCCAAGTACTTTGTTCGTCAAGTCCTCAATTACATTGTTTTCCTTTACACTAATATCATTAACTTCATATCTACACTATTCTCATCAAGCATAGCAGACGACTAGCGCGCTGCACACAAACGCCGGGACTACTGTCAGGGAAATAAATATGTGCACTCGAGTTTGAGCCTAAATATCTCTTGAGATGAATTATCCGAGTTTGTTGAGACAAAAAATAAATATAAGCTGGTTTAAATACGTTTTACGTGGTAACAATTAAAAAAATTTCCGTTTACCAGAAAAATTTATATAGTTGAAAGATCCTAAAAAGTACCGATTTTTAAGAAACTCTGCACTAACACTGAAGTTTAAAATTTAATTGTAAACAAACCACTCAGCCAATCTTTCTGAAATTGTTATGGCTTATTGGTAGGTTTATTGTTAACAGTTCCATGCATTTTAAAATTTTTACTCGCAATAGTTTTTATGCTGATGTTTATTTTTAAAACGTATAATACTAACATCGTTGATAAGGCGCTAAAAATGTCGTTCAAAATACCATCGTGTTTGTCGTGACACAAGAAATAACACCAATATGACAGATTTATAATGCGAACAAAGATGTTTTTAAACAGATGTTTGTAAACAAAAATTTCTCCCGCGATAAAAAAAATCGATTTACTATAGTAAAAACAATCGATTTACTGTAAGATACTGTATTTCCAACAATATACTAATACGACAATGTACTTCCAGAAAAACTTAAGTAATTTTTATACAAAAGTATTTTTACATTTAAACAAAGCCTATGTAAACAACACTGACTCCAAGCATAGCAGACGACCAGCGTGTTGCACACGCTGGGTCTAGGCTAGCGCCGCCATCTTTGTCCGTTTTGTCGGCTAGTCAGACTGCCACGCTCCTGCGCTCCGAGTAGCGCTTCTATTTTGTTATGTGTTCGCTGGTCCCTCCCGTGTGCCCCACCGGTCTAGTCACTACACTACTCGTCTCACGTCAGCAGTGATGGGCGATACGGACGCGTATCGCGATACAGCGATACGATACGTATCGGAAAAAAATATCGTATCGCCGTATTGAATCGGGCGTCTGTATCGCGATACGCGAATCGTATCGTCAAAAATATCGAAAAACGATACGTATCGTATCGTTTCCCCCCTCCCCTACCTAACCTAGAAACGGCAAATTTATATAAGTACCTGGGGACCAAGCTTTGCTCGGGGAAAATCATTAGTTTACTCTGAAAACATTGCAGATACATTAATCCATTTCCACACTCCACACTGCTCGCCTTTACTACTTCCTTCACAACTCCCTACGTCTTGGACCTGTTTCCCTATCCTTCCCATAGCATATTAGGATTGCAGATACATTAATGTAATTGCCACAGACAGTTCCCACACTCTGCACTGCTATAATAGTGCTAGATAGCACGCTAGTGGAAATGGACTGGACTGGGATGGGACTGGTACATTATCAAGTAAAAACAAAAAATACACACGTCAAAAACTCCTATTTCAAACTACACATCCACAGAGTACAGATTTTGCAGTTTGCTCGGCCTGCACAAAAAAAGCTAAAAAATATCGTTTTGACATGAATCGTATCGCTCTATGTGCCGATATAAATACAAATATCGTTTTAGGCGATACGATACGTATCGTTTTTCAAATATCGTTTCGAAATATCGTATCGTCCCCTCACGTATCGCGATATTCCGATACGATACGATACGTACGTATCGCACTTCGCACATCACTTATGTCATGTCATTAGTGATGTTAGATACCGTGATTTAAAAATATCGGTGACTTCGTTCCAGTGACAAAGAAATATCGGGGCGAAATATCGGTGACTAAAATATCGGTGACAGCTTTGCAGACCGCCCTGGTTTGTCTGTCACTGAGGCCTTTGTTATCGATGCTGTGGCCAATGACGATACGTACTCTCCCTTGACGATTTTGGATCAGCTGTTTGTCACAGAATTTTAATTATTTTGGCCATTTGTTCTAGGTACCAATACCTTGCTTTTAGGGTTTTTAGAGGAATATGTACTTGTTTGCTTACACTTTGTGAAATAAAAGGTATGACAAACTAATAAACTTTGATTCCATATTAAATGAAGTTAAAAATATGTAGGTGGTCTATAGCATTGACTATATGTTGTATAGTCAATGTCTATAGTCATAGATACTGACATAAGGCCTAGTGAGGTTAATATTGGGACCTATGCCTAAATCTTTGTCTTGTTATAAAGTTAGTAGGTTAAATAAATCAAGAGTAAATAAGCAATGCTCGATTAATAGTTATTGATAAAGAATTTAGTAGGTTTAATTCGGTCTTCATATTACCGATTCTGTGGCTCACCGGCCCACCTAATTAAGAACATTATTAGGTACCTACCTAGATGAACTCATTTTAGCTAAAACTTTGATTTATTTACTTAAATAAAGATTAACATTAATAAAAATCTAAAAGTGTAAGTAAAAAGTGGCAAAGCAATTGGATAGGATAGGATAGGACTATACTATTACCGGTAGGCATATGATATGATCTAAATCAAAATGCGAAAACGTTGAGTTGAGTTTGAATAATGTTGGTTGTCGTTGTAGGCGGGAAATATTGTGTATTATTGTATAGTCCCGGATGTGACTCATGGTTATGCAGGTTTGGGATTGGTTGAACCGTGAATGGGAGCTGCGCGCGCATCTCGTCACAGGTGATTTTGTAACAGATATCGTCATTCGTCAGAGAGAACTACGCGACGGCGCCAAACGGTGACAGTAACAGTACTAACAGTTTTCGAGGAGCGCCTTACCGCTGTCACCGATATTCCAGTCACCGTATTTTCGAGCCTCTTGTCACCGATATTTCAATGACAAACCGGTATCGGTGACTCTGTCACCGATATCAAAATATCGAACATCCCTACATGTCATGTCAGTTTCGTCGTTTCGTCGTCGGCAGTCGGCAATTTTCTTCTACAGTACCGTAGTCAGAGGCGAAACCATAATTTTAATGTAAGTTAAGTCACATTTAGCAGATTTATTTTCGCATAGGCTTAATGATTATTACTTAAATATAAGCTAGATCCAATAAGGGTTGAACTAAATCAAATATTGCATAGGTTACCTTCACTTGTAGGACATGGATTAACCTCAAACACTTGAATTTACTCTAGCATGAATACAACGCCCACTTATTTCTAATATGATTTAGGAATTCCTTAACACTCTTGAGTGTAACGTCAATTAATTGAGAATACACTTCAATCCCTAATATTCACATTTTTTTAAAGACTTTTTTGTTTGCTATTTAATTTCATTACCTGTTGTTGAATTGTAACTGCATTTTTCACTATTTTATTAATTAGGCTAATTTGGAATAGCCTAAGTTAATAAGACAATAACACACCCGCCACAGCAAACCTGCAGACTAAGCGAATTTCCATTTGCCTGATTGGATTTACACTAAAATGTCTACTTAAAAATATAACATTTATTTCCTATTTAAATAGAATTAGTATAACAAGTACTTAGGTTTGCTGCATCAGGGAGGGTAAAACTGTTTTTTTTTTTTTTTTTTGTAAAATGTTAATAGTTAGTAAGAAATAAAAACATTTTCCAAATTTGATCAAAATATGTTCATAAACAAGCAAACTACAACAGTTTACTTATTCTCCATAAGAATAACATGGGAATTTTAAATTTACAGTTTTATTTGGAATTTTCTCCGTAACCATTAGGCGCATAATAACGCTTCAATATACTAAATTATTTGTTTTTTTGAGCTCTACAAAATGGTTTGGAAAGAAATTGCTAAATTTTATGTTTTTTGGGTCAAAAATGGGAAAAACCTATTATTACCCCATAAAACCCCCCATAAACCCCCGTTCCCATGGTCCGATCATGCTGGATCGCGAACTCGTTCAAATAAACGTAGGTTTACACGTTTGTACCAAATTTTAACAAAATCGGATCATTTTTGCTCGAGTTATCGTGCTAACGGACACATATATATATATATATATATATAAATATATAAATATATATATATATATATGAATTTGAACGGATTCTGTTTTTGGCCTCTAGGGACCTCAAAACGAAAAAAAAAATCGGTCCCGCGTCCAGGTCTTACCATGAGTACTACGGTAATAGCTTATTCCCTATATGGGAAATTCGCTAAAAAAGAAAATTCCAGGTATTTATAGTAAACATTTAAAAAATCTTTCTTTTTGTTGTTAATTTCCAAGTTTTCTTATAAATTGTATTAATGTTGCAACCAATTGCATTGTTTGAAACCAAAACCTCATAAAATCGAAAGACATCCAGTCTACAATGTAATATTAAATTCCACCTTGATTTAGTTTGATAAGTATATTATAATATAGGCCTAGCCATTTTAGGAAAAACACTTTTTTCCTAAAATAGAGGCAGCAAAGCCTCAGTAACAAGGTAATTATTTGGTATGTCTACAACGCGATATTATGTACTTTTTTTATGTGTACTTACAGTATTTTTCACGCTGTATCCAAAAATGCAATCAGTTTTTGTTGGAGAGATTCCTAAATGACCGTAAAGTCAAATAATATTAAGCTTCAGTTTTGTTGTAATATTCACATATTTGTGGTATGGACGAGTCCAAGTTCTAGTGGCGACTAACACTTAAAGGGGAGGAAGGATTGTGGAGTGGAAACAGCTGTCAGTTGTTTACATTCGATAATAACAGACAAAACCACCTACGACGCCATGAGAGCAAAATCAGAGTTACAATATGCAATAACTAGATTTTTAAAAGAAAATGGACTTTGGTGCTGTTTAGAAAATACAATAAATCAACTACGATACATAAACTATTAATCACATCAACATAAATTATAGAACAAAATAGAATTTATTCACGTAAAATATCAGTAGGCCTAATAGAAGCAAGGCCACTGCCGATATGATCATCGTCCTCATTCCAATCCTGAACCATTGACTAATGCCTCAATGTCTGTTAATGAACGTGCCATAGTGCATAACCCCATAGTACATAATCCCATTGTGTCTAAAAGTGAAAATGTGCCACAGTGCATAATTTAATGTATCAGCAACTAATAAATTATGTTACATACAATCTAATCTAATCTAACCTAACCTAACCCAACCTTAATAATGTTTAAATCACATTTTATGTCAGAAAAGGCATGTGAATAAGATAGGTCGGACTTAATGACTGTATTAAGTCCTTTGAAGTGAGGTTAGATTAGGTAAGTTAAAGGTTAGGTTATAACGAACCGACTCATTAATTTATGCTACTTCCAGACTGTTTTTGTACAATTAAATAGTGGTTGAAACACAATGAAATAACAATATCAAAAATGCTTACGCAGGTTCATTATAGGTTGTGATACGTATAGGTTGTTCATTATAACCTTCCTAATCTAACCTCACTTCAAAACACTTAATACAGTCACAAATCCGCATAAAACCCGACCTACCTTCCTCACATGCCTAAATAAGAACTGATTAACTCTGGTTTCAAAACAAATTGATTTCATTCCGCATTAAGTCGAGTACAAACAGCTGTTTGCTCTCCTCCTCACTCAGTAGCCTACTCAGTCCACATACGGACCCGTCCAGACCACGCCTTATTGCCATCAGTATACCTCAATTAACCTTAGATTCGTAAAGTTGACCTTCGTTTTACGATCATTTAGGAATCTCTCCGACAAAAACTGATTGCATTTTTGGATTCAGCGTGAAAAATAGGCTACTGTAAGTAGACATCAAAAAAGTACATAATATCGCGTTGTAGACATACCAAATAATTGCCAGTAACACAATTTACTAGGGTTGCTTTCAGAGAGGTGAAAGCCAGTTGAGCGGAACAAACATGATTTGATATTTGTATAAGTAACTAAATGTAAAAAAGTCAATAGATGTATTAATGCTTGTTTTATTGATTAAAATTATAATAATTCTAATTTGTTTTTACTACATCTTGTTATTTAGACACCTCTTCCAGAAGTGCATTATGGTAGTTTTGACCAGGAAAATATTACAGTAGTTGGAATCTGATATTAACATCCAAAAAGGGCATTATAAGTATAAAAAAGAGAAAGGAAATTTAACATTCAAATTCAACTGTAGCCTGCAACAAAAACATTGGTCTTCATTTTTCACCCTTACAATCGGTTAAAGTAGGCTATTTCAGTATTAAAAAAAACAGTAACTATTTAAAAAAAACGAATATTAAAGTATAACATCAGGAGGGGAAATTAGACATTTAAATTCAACTGTGCAACATAAACATTGGTCTTCATTTCAACCCTTGCAATCGGTTAAACTCAGCTTTCTTTGCTGAACATAATTTATGATTGTTAATACCAAGTATTCTTGATATGATTGTAATGTAACTGGAATGTAGGTCTTCTACCATTATTGGGAAGATTTAGAGACGGCATTTTAATACTGGCCTTAATAAAACCATTGACCATTGGATACAGAAGATTTTGATGAAAAAGCTGGCTATAAATTTAACATGGGGATGGAATGTCTAGTTGTATTGATAGTCAAAGATAAAACATAGGCCTACGAAAAATGTAGGGCTATTTTAATGCAAGACTCATATGTAAAACACCTCTAAAAGACTAAAATGAACTGAATTATCAATCATGTATTTCAATGTGTAAAAACGTAATAACTGCAAAAAAATATCGATTTCGATGTGGTTCGATATATCGCTTATTAAATCCTGATTTCTAACATTGGCTGTTTCTAATCAGCTGGCAACACAAATAGGTTCCCAAGAAAGTCACTGGTCCGTATCCCTCCGCTCCTTGTTTATGCTCCGCGCATTGAGAAAGTAGTTCCGTATATTTTCTCAATTTTCAGTGAATTCCGCGCCTTAAAAAAATGTTTTGACGGCATTTTATTGTTTATTAAAATCATAGGAATGTTTTAAAAACGTTTAAAAGAAAAGTCTAGAAAGTTCAGAAATGCCTTATGATTCTCTTGTTTACATTTTTCGTGTAAACAAAAAACTGTCATATGGCAACTTTAGTCCCATAAGCCTAATGTTAAAATTTGGAAATTTTAAGTTCGTTTTAAATTGCATTAGCATTATCTAATTGAAATTTGTTTGTTTATTAACCATCTCACTATTAGTCTAAGTAATCTTGTTAAGTTTAGCTGAAATGTGTTCTGCCGTTATTGAGTGATGTTGCTTTATTTGTTGCATTGAAGTTGATCCCAAAGAGCTACGCTCGCTTCGCTCGTTGTGGTTCAACTAAAAAATGTTATCTAAGTAGCCTAGTCCGTGACTAAGTTAACTAGTGCTGCTCCCTAGTAACGCATTGAACAACCTGCTGTAGCGCTATCTGTTCGCAATCGTTGACGTCAGCTTAAATACTGGTTTTTGACTCCTCTGTCTCCAAGCACAGATAGCTGAGATGGCTAGGGCGTGTGTCACTTGGCCAGTGGTAATTTGTTTGCTTGGGTTCGATTCCCGTCCTGTGTGGCAAATAATTGGTGACCTGTGTGTTTGTAGCGATAGGTATACTACAACCACTGGGGCATAGTGAGGTGTTCATAATCCTTGGTTTAGACATACACCTCGAATCATCGGATTGGGGATTGGGTGAACTTTTAGGTAGCTAAGTGGTTGTTAATGTATCCTATTTAAGCATGCAGGTCACCAATGGCCGTTTTGCAACTTTTTGTTAAAATAACCTTTTTCTCTATACCTTATTCTTAGAGAATTTAGTAAACAACGATATATCGTTGCAGAGCACTCAAAGGGTTAAATACCAGGTTCACTTCATCAAATTTTTATTTGAAAGTCCTAACTTAGGTTAAATCAAGTTAGTGGTTACATATTTTTAAGGTCCTTATATTAAAGAACATTTTGTAATATAAGTTAGCCTAAAGTAAATAATTTTTCAAGTTGATACTCAGGCCTTAGAAGTTAGGCAGCCTTTCTTCTATGGTGTGAGTTAACTTACATGCATCTCTGGATTGGCAAAACTTTGACA